GGGCCCTTAATCAAACAGGGTAACTTTCCTACAAGTCTTTTTTTATCTCTATTGTAGCCACCTTCCACTCTCCTTTCCCTGTTAAGGAAATTTGGTCTCAACCCATTCCTCCAAAAGTCGGTGCTTTCTAGTGTTTTGTGCCTCCATTAACACATGTGATATGCTTCAAAGGAAAAGACCAAATTAGTGCTTGTCCCCATGTTGGTGTTTCTTATTTGTAAATGTTGGGATGGTTTTCTTCTTGGGCTTGTTGTTTCTGCCCACAACTTCTTGTTGTACATCTCCATTTTAATTTAATGAATCAATTTTTGTGTTGCTGATCAAAAAAAAAGATAAAAAGAACTATTTTTAATAGGTAAAAAGATAAAAGGAAATTTATGAGGTTTTCTCTCAAAGGAACAAGGTGTTAGAATAGGAGGAGAATATATGGAGACAAAAATATCGTTGAATTTGGTTGGAGGCTGGGGGCAGTACATGTTTTTTTCACCTGTCTACAATGGCTAGGGGGAAAAGAAACAGAATTGTTTAAGTCTACTAACAGTCAATGGCTAAGCAATCATATATTAATTACTGAGGAAATTTGCGCATATTATAGGAACTTGTTTTCTTCTAAAAGTAGCAATAACCTGGAGCAGCTTAATCCTTTATTTGCATCCGTAATTTTTGAGAATGAGAATATGGAACTAGCTAGGACACCTTCTTTGGAGGAAATTGAATTGATGATGAGGAGTCCTAGGAGACTTAAGGCTTTGGGGCATGATGGAATTTCTACCCTGGTCTATCACAGGTTTTGGGAGATCACAAGCATACACATTGTGAATTTTGTTCAGAAGTTTTTTACTTATAAGTTGTTAAGAAGACTTGATCACACCTTTATTGTTCTGATTTCTAAATGTGATTGTCCTTCCCAAATTAAAGATTTTACTATTTTAGACCAACTAGCCTCTGCAATGTTCTTTATATGATTATTGCCAAACTTTTACCTAATAGTTTGAGACCTTTACTTGATAAATGTGTCCCTCCATTTCAATCAGCCTCTTTGCCTAAAGGTACATGTCTAATAACATCATTGTTGCTAATGAGATATTTCATGGCATGAAGAAGAAGAAGAAAGGCAGAGAAGGCTAATAGCTTTAAAGTTAGATCTTTCAAAGGCTTATGACAGATTAAAGTGGGACTCTTTGATACATATTTTGAATCTATTGAGGTTTAGTAAAAACTGGTGCAATATGATTATGATTAGAGAGTGCATTTCATCTAAAGTTTCTATATGTTGATCAATGGGATCTATAAAGGCCTCTTTAATCCATCTTGCGATCTTATCAATCTTATATGTTGGATTACTGCCCAACTAGGCACCACTTCAAGAGGATGCTATCTCCCAGAGAAAAGAAAAGGGAGGGATGAGAGAGAGAGAGAGAGAGTTTGTAGGAAAGAATTCACATGTAATCTAATTACTGCCTTCACCTTTTTATAGATTCTTTACATCAAGTTGTTACATTCAGATTGATCAGTTACAGAGTCTAACATTGTCTTGATTCCCATGTCATTAGGTTGTTAGACAGTTGCAGCCACCTGCTGACATGGCTCCACTCTCCCATGCTCTTCTCAAATATACTTCCTAAATAATGGGCTTAGGCTGCATTTGGCATTCGTTATTTTAAGGATTTATCTCCTTTTTGCTGTTAAAAACTCAATGTTCACAAGGGAATTTTAACTGCAAAAAGGAGATAAGTCCTTAAAATAAGGAACACCAAATGCAACCTTAGCTCTGTTAGCCAGCCCTTGTGATGAGCAGGTCTGTCCCAGACCTGGGTTTCTAACATCTTGGGCAAAGAGATCCTTTCTAGGCTTCCGTGTAAAATGGAATCTGATAGAAAGATTCAGGATTTCAGGGTTGTTAAAGGAGCCCCTACGGTGTCTCATTTGTTTTTTGCTAATGATATTCTTATTTTTTTCAAAGCTTCTAGGGTTGCCACTGGTAATATTTTGGATGTTCTTGGTTTATTTCATAGTATGTCTGGGCAGATTATTAACTTCCAAAAATCTGGTCTAATGTAGCAACAATTTGCAGTTGCACTGTAGAAATGGAAAATTAGTGCTTAGGATGTTAAAAATGAGGAAGTTGGATTTAGACGGTAAATATTTAGGTATTCCTTTGTTGTAGAGGAGGCAGAAAGTTCCTTCATTTATGTTTTTGGAGACATTTGGACATAAATTGCTATCTTGGAAGGGTACTAGTCTGTCCCAGGCTTGTAGAATGGTTCCTCATTAAGGGCCCATTTGGCACGTCTTTTTGGGAAGATCTTCCGGTAGCTCTGACAGTCAAAAGACGCATTGAGCTTTTGCATGAAGACCTGAGTAGCCCGAAGCACGTTTGGCAGAAGCGCGTCTTTCCATTTGTCTTCCCGCATCGCACAAGAATAAAATGCGAAAGACGCGAGAAGCTTCATTTGAAGCTTCCCAAAATCAGCCCAAAATGGGCTTTTCGCGTCTTTTCAGTGTTCCGTCTTTTGGCGACTAGATCTTCCGCATACCAAATGGAAATAACCAAAAATCGGTCTTCCCAGCTTGTAAACAGCCGAAAGACCGCGCGGAAAGACACGCCAAACGGGCCCCAAGTATATCATACATTCAATCCTCATACATTGTATGTCTGTTTTCAGCCTTCCTTTTAAGATAGATAATGAGATGACCAGTCTCAAAGAGATTTCTAATGGAGGCAAGATGGTTCCTTTGTAGATTTTAAATAGACTGCTTGGAATGCTTTATGTTTACCTAAGAGACTAGGTCAGCTTGGTTTTAGACAGACCCAGGATATGAATAAAGCTCTTTTTGCTAAGTTAGTAGGGAGATTTTTAGGTTCTAATAGGGCTTTATGTGTTCAGCTACTTAAATGAAAGTACCTCAAGGATGGTGTTTTTCCCCAATAAGGTTAGGTTGTCTGGTTCCTTGTGTTGGAAACTTGGAAAGCTATTGTTAGGGGGAATGGATTTAATTAGAGATCATATTGGATGGCAAATTAGGAGAGATTCAGTGAAGAGTCCATGGGTTGTGCCTCGAATTTATGATGGATTGGGGTTTTACACCCCTCATGGACCACAAGCTAGAGAGCACAGGACTTTGAATGTGCAAAGCTTAATGAATGAGAGGTTGGATTCTTCAAATATTAATTCTTGCAGAGTGATTTCCAGAGAAGGTAGTTGAGGACATATGAATACTCATGTGTTTAAGAATCCAAAAGAGAATGAGTTGATTTGGAATGGGGCTAAGGATGGCATTCTGTTGGTTTAAAGGTTTTATAACTGGAATGTTGGTTCTAGGGCCACCTTGGTTGATCCTCTTGCCTTCAGAGTTCAGAATTAGTAAGCTTATTTAGCACTTAAAGATTCCTCCAAGGTTTAGGCTTTTCTCTTGGATGAGTGATGAGGTGTTTTTAGCTTCTAAAGACAATTTGATTTACCAGGGAGAGGGGGTATGACCATAGACCCTGTGTCTTCCCTGCAGTGAAAAAGTTGAGTCATTTTTCATTTAGTTTTTGGTAATGTCCTTTTGCTAGGGCATGTTATTTTGGTTCTTATTGGGGTTTAAGACTAAGTCAATTCCAGCAAAATTCTGTTATTAACATTAGCTCTAATGAGATGAAAGATGTTTATGTTTGGTTGATATTTTGTGTTTATTATATTTGGCAGGCTCAAATTATATATATATATATATATATATGTATATATATTTGGTTGATATTTTGTGTTTATTATATTTGGCAGGCTCGAATTATATATACAAGGGTGAGTATAAGAACAGAGTTCTAAGACTAATTATTTGTTTGCTCAAGTTTATGTCTTTTTCTTCATATCCAGGAGCAGATTATGTGGAGCACTCCACCTAGGGATTTCCTTGAAGTTAATTGTGATGGAGGCATTGGAATGGAGGGTTAGGGTTATTACAGGTGTGTTCTAAGAACTGATTCTGGCCCTTCTGCATTTTCTGCAAGGGGTAATTTTTTTATTAAGGATGGTGTAGTGAAATCAGAATTAGTGACAATCTGGAAAGGCCTTTTTGCATGGGAGAGTGCAGCTAGCAATTTTTTGGTAGAAGCCAATGCTTTGCTGGTGCTTAAAGATGTATCAGGAACGAGCTCTGTTATTGCATGGTCATGCAGGCATCTGTTGGACTTCATTGACTCCATTTGTGCTAGTTTTAATTGTGTGAGGTTTAGTCATATGAAAATCATAGGAAATAGGGCTGCACATGAGATAGCTTCTTGTGCAAAGTTTTTCGAGGAGGATAAGGAATCTAGTTCCAATTTTTTGAAAGTTGGATCCCACCTTTAAGGAAACAAAATATGGCCAGTAGGTACCATGTTACAGAATCATGTAAAACTGCCTAAAAATAATAGGCATTGTGCCGCTATATCATAATTCATAAAAAAAAAAAAACAGCCTACACAATCTTCATTAATTCCTAACAAGAGCAATGCATCTCATCAACCATACTTCTGCCAGCCCAGAAAGGCACCCCCTTTCAGCTCAAGCACTTAAAATTAAAAGAGACTATCAAATCAATCGCTTTGTCTGTATTGACTAAATTTTTATACCAAGGAATGCACCTGTCAGTTTCCAGTTTCATTTAAGTCGGTAAAACCTCATGCCAATACTGAAGTAATTCCAGCGTCCCATTCCGCAACTTTTCTTGTTCCAAACTGAAATCCTACCCATTGAAACCCTAGAACTCCTCTAATCTCATTAAAATGTACGTTTCTTTTCGGAATTTAACGGATTACATCAATACGTCCATAACAAAACTAGGGTTTTCCGAATCAGGAACCCCCACAGGCGAACGCCTGCATCTAAATCCCGTATTGCATGCACCTCCCAATAATACTGGAGCAGATATATTTGCAGGAAAATCAAACAAATAAATGAAAAAAAAAGTGAAATAAAATAAGAAGGTGATCGATCAATCCGATTGAACAAAGAACAAGGGGAAATCAAGATTACCTGAGATGGGCAGTATCAATGAGAGCGTTTTTGGAGGGAAGAAACGACGGGAGGGAGAGAGGGGGAGCGCTGGAAATGATTTCTTTTCTCCTTCTCTCTCTCTCTCTCTCTCGCTGTGTTTTCTCTCTCTGGCAATGGGTTTTTGTAACTTTCTCTTCAGGCGTTCGATGCAATTACATTTGAAGGTCAAGTTTTCCAGAGGCATATCATACAGTGACAGGATCTGCTCCTCACAAATAAGCGCTTCACATGCACATCCACCGTGCATTGAGAACATCTCCCGTGAATATAAGAACGGGAGATGTTCCCAATGAATGATAGGATGTGCGTGTGAGACGCCTGTGAGACGCCAGTGTGATGAGCAGATCCAATCTCTATGGTACGTGGACAAACTACAAACTACAAAGCTTTATAAGCGATCCATTTTGAGTCAACAACCACTGACCCGGCCCGGAATAATCCGGGTTGGTCCGTTCCAACTGATTGTCCAGCCAGGCCCGATAAGCAGGCCCACAGAAACACCTTTCCGGCTTAGGTTCAACTATTCTCAATCTAGTTTCAAATAGGGGTCTAAGTGCTTAGCCCAAAAAAATGTGGGTATAGGCTCTATCCTCTATCTTGGCATTTTCCAACCCGCCCCGCATAAAACAAGTTTCCAATCTGGCATTGACTGATCTCAATTCTCAATCATATCTAAAATTAGAATATAGTCTACATGTTAAACCATTCACTTTTCGGTAATTATTTTTTAGTTAAATAAGACAATGGTCATTTTAGCTATAAAAATACATTATTAAAAGGGGTATTTTTGTCTTATCTGCAATTTTTCTTAGGTGGGAAAGTTATTTACCCATGGAAAAATTATTTATCCACCAAGGAGATTGGTATCACTTACCCAGCAAAATAAATTTTCCCCGGTCCCTACATAAATCTGAAAAAAAGAACATAGGTTTCTTGGTCAATGAAATTGGCAATCCCATTCACCAACTTTTCCCCTCTCAAAATCCAAAAAACGAACACCCCCTTAGGGTTTCTTTGTGGGTAATAAGGTCTAGATTTTAATTTGACTTTTTGTCAATTTTCTAAGTTGTAAATGACTTGATATTTTTTATTTTGTTTAGTTCTGGTTTTTGAAGTGCCTCAATGAGATATGAAACCTTTTTTTTTCTTTTGTTGTTCTTCACTTCTTCTCTTGTTCCAACTCTCAACGAGTTGGTGGAGATTGCCTTCATCTTACGTAAGAAAATATATGATCGTTTTATGAATGGTCTGTTTGACAACAAGTGAGGTAGCTGAACTGTTGAACTAAATGGGTTGTTGTTCTAGCTTTTAGTGAATATAATTTAGGTTCAAATTTTTTATATATTATTGACAAGCCCTAGGTAATTTAAAACACTAAATTTTGGGAAGCTTCAAATAAAACTTTATGGCATTTTTGCATGATAGATAGCCTCTAAACGTGTTTTAAAAGCCCAATAGACTGAGTTGCTTATTAAACGGCCTTTATCTTTAAAGACAAGACCCCAAAAGCTCAATATCTTTTGGCCATCTGAGCTGTTGGAAGATCTTCCTAAAATAACTTGCCAAGCGTCACCTAAAAAAGGGCATGGCTTCCAATAGGTACCATGTACTTTAGGTTGAGTGCCAATTTAGTACCCGAATTTTAAAACGCGATAATCTAGTACCCAAACTTTCATTTTGCGACAATCTAGTACCTACCGTTAATGGACCGTTAGTTATGTATATCACATGACCTCATGTGCAATTTAAGACTTTTAAAAATGTCAGGATTACCCTTAGAAGTTGTTCATCATCTTCTTTCTCAAGAAAATGAAAGAGAGGCAAACAACTGCTTCAAGCTCTAGTAGACCTCCAAGCATTGGACAGCAAGCATTTTCCACTGGGTCCTCTAATCCAACGTGCACCAACCCGCCAAGAACATCCAAGCACAACCCTAGTTTCAGTGTGTTGATCAGGCATGTCGGACTAGTTGAAGATGGAGGATTTGTCCCTGGAAGTCCACTTCCACCTCCAAAAGGTGGTGTGTAAGACCACTACCACTGCTACCTCCTGAAGGAGGGTACTAACAGAGATTCCACTTTTCTACTTCTAGAGAAGTTGCTCCATTTCTCAAAAAGGTTCGTGTACGCCAGCTTGTTGTGGACTGGCGCCCTCTCTCTCTCTCCACAGCACGAAGAAAAAAATGACTTAACAGCTTTATCTCTTCTTTTTTTCCCTCTTTAAGTACTTGAGTTGGTATGTGGTCTACGACATCGCCATTACTTACTTTGAGCCTCTTATTTTTACTTTGTTCTTATCTCTTAATTTTTCTTTTTCTTGCCTTTTAGCTTGTGGGCTTGGTCTATATTTCTAATTTCTAAATTCGTGTTTTCTATTGGGCACTGCCATCGAACTTCCTTGATTCCTTTTATTCCCTTCTAACCCACATTGCATTCTCTGCATCGAACCTACAGTTCCATTTTCAACCCTTTTCGAGGTTATATATATGGAGCTTTCCTCTTAGACCTCCCTTGTGCTCACATTGTCTTGAAGAACAACTTCAATGCAAGCAAAACGATTAACCTGTTTGTGTGTAATCATTCGGTGTTCTTGCCTTTTTAAATTTTCTATCTTCTATTTGTGGGTCTTCGGGCTTGGTTTGTCTAGTTGAGAACAAGCTAGAGTCTTTCGGTGGGATTGGATTATGTAATTCTGTTGTTGGCTTGATGATTGTTTGTATTCCATGAATACAAATCTTCTCTTCTCTATCCAGTGTTTGTTAGAATTGCACTTTCTCACCTTATGCGCAATACTCAAATAATGTAATTTATCCGGATATTAGATCGCCAGTCCCTCTAATGTCACTGATGTTGCTCAATCCGAGGTAGTGCACGAACTGAGGATGGCAATCAAATAGTCCTTGCTGGTAGGTCGGGGCCAAGCTTCAAGGACGAGGCCACGCTTCAAGACCTGCGATCAAGGAAGAAGTCAGAGGCCCAAGGAATTACCCTCGGGTAAGTACTCCGACGCTCAAGTCAATAGGAGGTGGTGGATGGCCGGGCTGAGCTATAGGGATGCTGGTCTGGGCTAATTAGCAGTTTTGGTGTTAGAAGTCAAGAGAGTCTCTTACCTTGAGCATGGAGTACCATTTTATAGCTAGAGGGTTCGTATCCTGATCGAAGTAGGTTTCTAGGGAAATCGGGGCAGAGTTCCCCGCCAAGGTTATAGGGGGTAGAGTCCTACTCCTCGGCGGAGTTGTCTTTCCATCCCTATCCGCTAAGCGGGCTTATCCGTGAGGGGTGTAGCTGACGTGGTCAACGGGATCATGGCAATGCCGTAAACCGGACGAACTATGCCGACGTGGCCAAGTTGTGACAAATGGCCAGGGGCCTCATGGCTAGCACATTCATGTCCCCAACAGTCAACCTTCCTTATCCTGAGCCATTGAAGAAAGAGTACCCCAGTTGACTGAGTTTCCAAACAAGATGGAAGAGACCTTTGTCCCTTTTTGCGGAATCAAGAATGACCTCAATGGAAGGTTGATGTATTACAATTTACAAGCAAGATTGGAGTAATGGTGTCAAGGCAGGCTTCAGGTATGTATTAGTCTCTGGTATAACGAAGCCTTTCTTGATGTTATAATACAGTGGTGATTATTAGCTTCTTGAGGTATGTATTAGTCTCTAGCATAACGAAGCCTTTCATGATGTTATAATTGAAGGGATGAGAGATCCATCGTATGGACGCCCAAAGATTGCGGAATATGGGGGCGAAATTCAAAAATTTTTCTCTCCCTTCAACTGGGAATCACATTCCCTATTTAGAAAATCATATTTTCAATGATCATTCTTGAACCATAAACTGAACCAGATCTGAACCA